TGGAAACCCAGTCGAAACCCAGTCAGAAACTCAGTGGAAACTGAGTGGAAACTGAGTGGAAACCCAGTGGCAACCCAGTGGCAACCCAGTGGCAACCCAGTGGAAACCCAGTGGAAACCCAGTTGGAAACCCAGTAGAAACCCAGTCAGAAACTCAGTGGAAACTGAGTGGAAACTGAGTGGAAACCCAGTGGCAACCCAGTGGAAACCCAGTGGAAACCCAGTTGGAAACCCAGTAGAAACCCAGTCAGAAACTCAGTGGAAACTGAGTGGAAACCCAGTGGAAACCAGTGGAAACCCAGTTGGAAACCCAGTAGAAACCCAGTCAGAAACTCAGTGGAAACTGAGTGGAAACCCAGTGGCAACCCAGTGGCAACCCAGTGGCAACCCAGTGGCAACCCAGTCAGAAACTCAGTGGAAACTGAGTGGAAACCCAGTGGAAACCCAGTGGAAACCCAGTGGAAACCCAGTTGGAAACCCAGTAGAAACCCAGTCAGAAACTCAGTGGCAACCCAGTGGAAACCCAGTGGAAACCCAGTGGAAACCCAGTGGAAACCCAGTGGAAACCCAGTGGAAACCCAGTAGAAACCCAGTGGCAACCCAGTGGAAACCCAGTGGCAACCCAGTGGCAACCCAGTGGCAACCCAGTGGAAACCCAGTGGCAACCCAGTGGCAACCCAGTGGAAACCCAGTGGAAACCCAGTGGAAACCATTTTCTTTAGTTTCCTGGAGACAATTGCGGGGACCGGGCAGCAGGCCAAGGACCGGGCAGCTGCAGCCATGGTCCGAGACCTCAGGAGTCTCTCCAAAGGATTTTTCGGCTAGCGACCATTTCAGATCTGCCAAACTTAGCTGGCCTTGTTGCCCTTGTGCCGTTTTTGTTCACCTTTTGCAGGTCTAAGCCTTGCCAAGCCGTAGAATCGACTGCATGTGAAGTCAGACCTGGAATCGGAACAGATCTGTCTCAGGTCTGATCCAACAGGCTGCGAAAAGACCATTTGCAAGCTGTGCCCAAAGCCCCCCTGCCTTCTGATCAGCCAGTTCCCCGCCCAGAAAGCTGTGGGAGAAGCGCGCGAGCGTGCAGCTGCTGCCAAGGCGTGGGAGGGCTGGCGTATGGCTTGTTCATTGGATTCTTATTGGTGGGTTTGTTCTTTCGTTCGTCTGCCTGGCTGTTTGTTTGTCTGCCTGTCTGCTGTCGCTTTGCTGCTTCCGGAGTGCTTGCGTGCTTGCTTGCTTGTTCCGCAAGAAGTCGTAGTTATTTGTTGCCTACTTTCCGGTTGAGCATCCAAATGTAGGCTGTCAGTCCCTGTCCTACTTCCAAAACCGTGGTTGTGACTGGCCATGTGAGTATGAGCCAAAACTAAACCACCAGGGGACCGCTGGTTTTAGTCCATGGTTCCATTTACCAGGATTCCATTTTGGGTGCCCATTTTTGACCCACAGCCATGCGGGCAGCGTCAAATTCGCTTTCGACAGGCCGCCGCCGAGCCCCGGCCAAACCGAGCACGAAGTGGGGGAGGGTGGCTGAAATACGCCATGTCCCGTTGCCCACCACTGCAAATGATGGGTTTAGCCTACTTTAAAGGCAGCAACTTCTCGCATTCAGCAACTTCTCGCATTCAGCAACTTCTCGCATTGATCCGGACCAGAGGGCCGTATTTGAAGCTTGCGTGATAAGTTCCGATTTGTTTTGGGTAAAGTTCTGGTTGGACCGGCTTGAGCTTTTTCGTAATTATCGAAAAGTTGCGACTTATTTTTAGCCGGGCTGCGGAAGTTTACTTTTCGTACTACATTCGTTTGGCAGTTTCGGGAACGAGGAATTTCAGACAACCGTCACATGTTGGCTTGGCAGTTTAGTTCTTTTCTTGTCGCACGGTAGCGAACGGGGTTGGGGAGGCAGGAGATTGCCGCCAATTAGGCCAATGAGGTTCTGGAATTGTTTGTTCCCGGGAGACCACCGATGGCATTCATTAAAGTGGCCTTTTAGTGCCCCTGGGTTTGCCAAGTTGAGGGTTGACTGCCCCCCCACGTCCTCGCCTCACCTCTTTGAAAGCCCCCTGTTGAATTACACTGCGTTCCCGCACTTGTTTTTGACGAGGACTGCGAGCCAAGAGTAGGGAGCGTCGACCAGCGCGACTAGCGTCAACTGTGTCTATACAGTAGCTGAGTTGACGGACTTCATTTCCTCATTTAAGCAAAGGGTCAGCACATCTAAGCTTATTATGGCCAGCTTTCGCAGGAAGCCACCGGATGGCACTTTGCATGTGGCGATTGAACAGCTACGCGCAAGGGCTCCCCAACTGAGACAGCAATCGCCTTGGGTCGGGGGAGGGGTTTAAACTGCTTGCCTTATGGCACGTGTTTTGTTTTGGGGCTGGGATGTCAATGGCGCTAGTAAATGAGATCAAGTCATCCTGAGGAGCTCGGTTCCGAGGGATGCAGTCCATGAACGCTAATGCAAAGGCGTTTTAATTAGGGAACCTCCTTCTGACAGGTGTGTTTCGTGGCTTTTGGTCATGAATTGCTGACATTGGTTGAGCTTCTTCTCAAGAACCTGAGTCGAAAAGTGCTGGTTAGATTGTCCTAGGTACTTGTGGCATGGTTCAAGACCCATGACGGATCATAAGGATGTGAACCCTCGCAAATGGCTTGGGATCCCCTCAATCAGCCCGCAAGGGCCCCCCCAACTACATTTTACTGTGCCTCAGTTTCCTGTTTAGACATTTAAATACACACACACAGAGAAGAACTTTCCTGCGCCATGAAGGTGCATGTTCACTTGCCCAGTGGAGCTGGTTGCTCCATAGAAGTCTCACCGGCGACGCCCATCAGCGAGCTGAAGGGTGCAGCGATCGTCGCCTGAAGCTCATTGCGAACGGCCAGCAGGATTTGATGGCCACCACTGTCACAGAGGCACGGCGCGAGATGGGGACGTTGTGACGGCAGTTGTGCAGCTTGGCAAACTAGCGGCCACTCATAGGGCATTTGCTTTTCATGGCCACGGGGGCGAGCTTGTGACCTGGGGTGATCCAAGATTTGGCGGAGACAGCAGCCAGGTCCAAGAACAGCTGAGGAACGTCCATCACATCCAGGATATCCAAGCAACTGGCACTGCTTTTGCTGCCATTCTTGAATCTGGGGCTGTGGTGACATGGGGTGATCCAGAATGTGGCGGAGACAGCAGCCAGGTAACCGAGCAGCTGAGGAACGCCCAGCACATCCAAGCAACTGGCGGTGCTTTTGCTGCCATTCTTGAATCTGGGGCTGTGGTGACATGGGGTGATCCAGAATGTGGCGGAGACAGCAGCCAGGTGCAAGAGCAGCTCAGGAACGCCCAGCACATCCAAGCAACTGGCAGTGCTTTTGCTGCCATTCTTGAATCTGGGGCTGTGGTGACATGGGGGTGATCATGGTGCAAGCGCAGCTCAGATGGCAGTGCTTTTGCTGCCATTCTTGAATCTGGGGCTGGTGACTGGGGTGATCCAGAATGGGCGGAGACAGCAGCCAGGTGCAAGAGCAGCTCAGGAACGCCCAGCACATCCAAGCAACTAGCAGTGCTTTTGCTGCCATTCTTGAATCTGGGGCTGTGGTGACATGGGGTAATCCAGAATGTGGCGGAGACAGCAGCCAGGTAACCGAGCAGCTGAGACCCTTCTTGAATCTGGAGCCGTTGTGACCTGGGGCAAACCTGACTACGGCGGAGACAGCAGCCAGGTGCAAGAGCAGCTCAGGAACGCCCAGCACATCCAAGCAACTAGCAGTGCTTTTGCTGCCATTCTTGAATCTGGGGCTGTGGTGACATGGGGTAATCCAGAATGTGGCGGAGACAGCAGCCAGGTAACCGAGCAGCTGAGACCCTTCTTGAATCTGGAGCCGTTGTGACCTGGGGCAAACCTGACTACGGCGGAGACAGCAGCCAGGTGCAAGAGCAGCTCAGGAACGCCCAGCACATCCAAGCAACTAGCAGTGCTTTTGCTGCCATTCTTGAATCTGGGGCTGTAGTGACTTGGGGTCATCCAGAATGTGGCGGAGACAGCAGCCAGGTGCAAGAGCAGCTGAGCCTGTAATTTGGTGTTGTTGTTACAAAGACGCCACACATTTGGGACACCAAAAGCGTGTGACAGGAGGAAACAGCAAGCTGTTTTGTGGGGCTACTGTAACATGGACGGCGCAAATCTGGGCAGCTAAAGCTGAAAGAAGCAGCGACGGGTGAACTAGGTTCTGCATCGTTTTTAGGGGCTCCTTAGAGTTGTGTGCTTCAATGTTAGTTTATGTTAATCTTTCCATTTGGTTGTTGTACCTGATTGTTCGTTACAGGTGCTTCGTCCAAATGTGCAGCGAACATGGGTGGCCTTTCTGGGCCTGAATCGAACTGACTAAGGGGGGGGGGGGAATTGAAGCTGAAGTCTATGGGGCTGATCACCCAGGGGCCTTTTGGACCGCATTCCATGGGATTGCCTCAATTTTTGAACCCCAGCTTGCTGAGGGTTGCTAGAAGGACACGCCTTAACAACATTGAACCTCACATGTACCAGCTGATGTGGCAGATCCCTTGTGAGGCAGGTGATTTGTGGATGCTTTGCCTCTTTTGGGGGCGGGTGCGAACGGTTTGATGACCCATGCGCACTGAGGAGTCTGGTTCCATCCCTGCAGATTTGCAAGCGCTGCGCCCAGAGAGGCTTTCAGGTTCTTCTTCGAGCCAAGTTGGACGAAATATGATGGTCTTTCCTTTAGTGTACTTTTAAACGGCACCCAACCCCCCCTCCAGTTTCAACTCCCCCCCCCCCCCCAACAAACAAACTTTTTTTTTTCAAAGGGAAGAAACAACATGTGGGGGCGGGGATCCCCAAAAACATGGCACATGGGCTAATGATGTAGTCAGTGCCGATTGTCAGCCCTTCTCCGGTGTTGCACGCATGGCAAATAGAGGCGCCCTTTGGTGAGCAGCAAGTTGAGCAACGATTCCAGGAGCACCAGGATTTTACGATAGTACCCTGCCGCTAACATGGAACCCGAAGGATCCAACTTTTAGAGGAACCCGATCCATGCAAGGTCCCTGGGTTCCATGACAACCGCAAGTGCGCTGCCTTGAGCCCCTGGAATCCTTCGGATCGATCCGAGGCTCCCGGCCCTGTGGAGCGCTTCAAGAACAGGCAGGGGTTGATATGCTGTGGCGGCGAAACAGGGCTCCTTAAAAGATACATTTTGCCCATTGGAAACATGGCTTTTTCTACCAAAATAAAGGGACACCACCATTTACAAGGCAATGTTCAGGTGTATAATGTAAGGATCCCTGTGAAAGGGTTTTCGTTGCCACCGTTCAACACGTGCCAAAAGGGGATGTTCCAAAATTGGCTCCTTGAGTCCTCTAGAAAATGTGCTTTGGGGAAAGAGGCCGTATTGGTTTCCATCAGTTTGTCACCTTTGCCACTTACCAGCAACCAGAGGCTCGCTCTGATCACAGCTAGTTGGGCCCCAACAAGTTGATCCTTCCTGGCTGGGCGAAAATAACTTTTGCGAAATACCACCCACTTTGCGAAGATGCAATCGAGATTCCATTTTCGGGGGGGGGGGGGGGGGCGGGTGGCTCAGTTAGTTGTATGCTCAAGCCTTTCGGGCGAGCGTATTTTACTTCAAGTGGTTGGTGGAGGTGCGGTGTATTCGTGATTTTCCAAGTTCCACTTCCCCGATCTTCGCTCCGTCTCTCAGGTTCTTCTTGGGTTCATTTTGGTTTTCCCTTGGTTTCCCCTAGGTTTCGTGGCTTCCCCTTTCTCCACTGAGGGCTGTGCCGGCCATCAACCTCGATGTCATGAAGGTGGGAGTGCGAATCGCGAAAGGAGATGTCCTTGCAACTTGTAACATTCACTCAGCGTTTGGCCTCTTACATTTCACTCTTTTTTTTGCGTCATGACATCACCTCATGACTGTTGACACCCCCTTTTTTCATTTCTTCGTGTTTTTTGTTTTTCTCGGTACAACAAGAAGCTTTCCTTTGGCAGGGTGATGTTTATTGGGGACCTTGATTGCCCCCAAAACCGACAGTGAACTCCCAGCCAAACTGTAAACCCTTGTGACTAGCGTCACTGGCTATTTTGGCCATGTTGCTGGATTCTTCTATTTTCAATTGAGCGGTGGCTTCAAACATCACCTTGTGGAAAGCACATCCCACCTGCACTCTCATTCTAAGCCCGACTTAACCCTCAGTTCACCCTTCAGTGAGCCCCAAGTTACTCCCAGTTAAACCGCCAATTAGCTCACTTGTAGCCAGGGTTCCCCATCTTCCTTTTTGCTTTGTTTTCCCCTACAAAATAAACCAGGAGATCTTGCATATGTTTGTTTTGGGTGGGATCCATTGAACTGGGCTCCCCATTTCCCCACAAGGGTGGACACATCACCTTTTGGACAGTGTGGAAGCATAATCCACCTGCAGCCAAGACCCCCAACCATCCACGTTGGGTTCAGGTGGTTTAGTCCACCCCAACGCTGATGCGGTCTTTGGAGGTGTACCCTAACCCTTGGGAAGGTCTTGGGGTGGATGGCCTGTAGGGTCCCTGGGTCCCCGGGTGCCTGGCCACTCTGCTTCCCTGACAACTTGCCCTGGTCAACACTAAGGCGTCGCGCCTCCCCCACCCGGTAGAAACCCCGGAAAAGAATGGGTGTACCTCCATTTCTCTTGTTTGGACCGCCAACGGTGGCAGCTTCACTGGAACTTACCAGCAAAACTGCCACGCCATAACTTGTGCCTACATGTCCACTGACCCCTGTTGTTGTCCCCTTCACAAGCAAGGTCAACGCGTACTAATTATTTGGGTTGAATATCCACAAATGGGGGGTATTTTTGGGGACGCCTAGCAAAATCCCAGGAGAAGCCATCAATTAGGCCTTATTTACTGGCTGGGCTAAAAGCTAGCTTTTCAACTTCTTCGGAATAACAAACTGGTAACTTTTCAGCTGTTTAGGAATACCGAGCTGGAAGCTTGCCAGCTCGTTGGGATTTCCGAACTAGATTGTCTGGTTTTTTGGAAATCCAGACCAAACATGTTCAAGCTGTTGGGAATACCAAACTAGACACTTGTCAACTTTTTTAGTTAAAACACACACTCTAGATTTGTTTCATTTTTTGGATACTCCAAACTACATGTTTTCCAGCTGTTTAGGAATATACAACTAGCAACGACTCAACTTTTCGGGAAGACCGAACTAGAGGCCAAGAAGGTTCTGAACATCTATTCTCCCGATTGGCTCAGTGTGTGAAGGGGTCCCTTGGGTCCCGTGTTTCGTGCACTCCAGGCGCCGGCGCCGTCGGGCACGCCCCGCACGCGAAGGCCAGGGGTCGTTTGAAGGGAAACAAGAGGAAACCCATTTGAAAGTTCCCCTAGTTTGACACAAACCTGTTTGGGCATCTTGTTCTTGGTTTTTTTCTAGGATAAGACTCCCCTACTTTCAACGAAAATGAACACCTTTTGGGGGATTGTTTCAAGAACGTAGTCCCCTCTTCTTCTGCGAGACAATAGGGGCTGTTGAGTGGTCTTCCCTGTGTCCTTCCTAAACGAATGATCGACTAAATCTGTCCGTTGCTCATGCGGTAGTGCGTACGAGCTAGAGACCTTGCCAACAGGTCTTTGGATTTGTTCCCCCCCCCCCCCACCCGCCGCCCTCCCCCCCCTCCCCTTACGCCGCACGGCACAACCAAGACTTCCCGTGGCTCTGAGGTGAACGGATCTTCCAAATGGCTTCCTGATTTCATGGTGGTCTCCTTTGCTTTCATTTGCTAGTCGACTGTGAGCAGGGGAAGCCATGATCAGCAATTCGACCTTCATACAGTCGAAATAGATGATTTCGTGGGTACGTTGATTTTGCTTGGGCCGTTCACAGTCATTGCTCATTCCTGCCTTTGGAAGCACAGGCTCCCTTGTGTAGTGGTTTCCTGATAGGGATTTTCGATTCTAAACAGGCCAGCCAGTGGCACCTGAACAGCTTTCCACAAAGGTTTCCCTATATTTCTATGTTGAGATAGGCCGCCCCCGCTAGTGGGCATGCGTCAACTCTGTCTGCATCAAGATCTTGTCCAAGGTGCTACTCAATCGTAGCATGAACCGTGCATCATCATCATCATCATCATCATCATCATCTGAGCGCGGTAGGCGAAAAGGGACACATCTCCAACCATGGAGCCCATGGAACATACTCTTCACCCCATGTGTGATTCGGGCCCGTGTTCACCTCCACAGATCTGAAAATCCACTGCTCTTCTGAACGGTTGGCGAGGCAAATGGTGAAGATGATTGCACACCCTAGATCTTATGGTCCTGCTTGTTGTTTCTTCTTGTTGCTGTTTATTTGCTGTTAGCATGTTTTGATTTTTCCGAATATTCTATTTGTTCAGAATGATCATCCTAGGTCCTTTGAAGAAGCATAATAAGCCATCTGCCCTTTTGGATCTTCAGACCAGTTATATGGATTTTTGGGGAGAGCGACCTTGCTTGGCTTGAAAGGGACACCAGAAGAGACCCGGCCATGTTGTGGATCGAACATTTCCCTTTCCTGGGGGGAACCTCCCCATTCATTCGCTCCTTCTTAGAGAACCATCAAGCAAGCACGGGAAACGGCTGAAAAGAATGGAAAGGGATCGAATCGACCACTTTTCAGAGGTCCCGTTTCCTCTGGGGCTTGTTTTTGCTTTGTGCCAGGCCCAGTGCAGCTCAGGCGAGAGTCAGTGGGAGGGGGGGGTCATGGCCTTACTTGCCATACCCATCTCACCTATCTAGACATGTTGAGCAGCTGGAAGCCATGGGACATGAGGTGGTCAGTCGAATAACGTTCTGGAAATAGGCTATGGGCTATGGGTTATGAAGGCGAGAGGCCACTTACGGGTGCCTCAGAGTGCAATTCGCAGCCTGACAACTGGTTGGGTTCGATAGTTTCCTTCCTTTTGGGCAATGAAGATTGGCTCTTGGCTGGTTCACGCAGGTTCTTCAGTTGAGTTTAGCGTGACCCTGTGGTTTCCCCACACCTTTGACAATTTTAACGCGTGAGCAGTATCAACGCGTACGTCAGTGCTCATCAGGTCCGCCGGTTCACTTGCTCAGCCACAGTCAGTGCAGGGGTGGGCAAAAGGGTCGAAATCTCACGGTCCCATGTCTTGTGCAGGCTTGGGCTGGTGGTTTCCGTTTCTGGTGTCTGGATGTCACTTTTGGACGCAACAACGTGCTTTGCCATGATGTGGTGGCTTGCTCTCTTGTCATCAACATTTGACTTGAGTTCTCTCGCTGTATGGCTTGATGATCATCATGGTACTCCGTTTTTCCGCGGGCGTCCGCTTGGCAAGTGGCGGGGTGAGTGCTTGAGGTGAATCCTTGGGCATTGCTCATTGCGATGTGGTATGCAAAGCTCGACATCCTCACATTGAGAACATTGTCTGTAGTCGTCCTGCATAGTGGGCTGGCTAGTTACCAGAGCCTGGCTGGGGTGGAGATATCGGTGGCAGCGGAGGGCCTGGAAAAGTGGTCAATGAGGTGGTGGGACTTGCTTTTCAGGGACGGCGCAGGCCGTCCTTGCTTGGGTCACGCGTCTCGCGGCTATTGCTCTCAATGACTGACGCATTCCGGAGCTGGCCATCCAAGCTTTCTACAAACGCAAGAAATTGCACCAGCGTGCAAGTAGCTGGCCCTACTCTGTAAGGCGGATAGCATTTGAATCGTGAGGGCGTGCTATCATGTAGCTATCAAGCTGGAAAACCTTAACGTGAGTGAAAGTGTTCGTGGGTCACTGCCACGTGTACCCGGAGCATCCACGTAACCGATACTTGCGGTTTTGGGTATGGTTGACTGGCCATAGACGCCTTGCGTTGTACCCCCAAATCAGGGCGAGCTCGTAAAAATATTATGCCCCAAGTGCTAAGTGGTAGGGAGAAGGGAAACATGCGTAGTTTCTGATTTTGCTGACTCCCGGAAAGTGTCAAAATAGTGACCCCAAGGATGATGTCAAAGGCTGCCCAGTTT